CCCCCCCCCCCCAATGACTACAGAACAGTTCTCTATCCTTGACCCGTTCCAGTTTGCTGAAAAGGGCTTCAGGTTTTCAGGAACAGCTTCCTTGTGATAGCTTGCAGCGGGTGGTGGCTTTTGCACAGCCATCATTGCACAATGAAAGGGCAGCAAGAAGCATTTGTGAAGTTCACAGATGCTGCTTGCCTGAAAGAGTAACTCATTTACTATACAGCCAATGACTGACTCTGCCCTCAGCCTCAGCAGCTGGATGAATCTCCATGCTGGATCAAACAGCTTTTCAGATGCCTGTTTTGGTCTCTGCCATCTGGCCCACTAAGAGGTTATGCTGAAAGTTCAAACTGCAACCTCTTTCTACCCCCTCCCCCATCCCAGGGTAATTTTAAGCAAGTTGAAGCTCCCAAAGCATACACAGTCACATCTTTGTTTCCATTCTGTGTTTGATAGGGGCTAAATTAGGGCAATGCGCAAAACACAAGACCAGGAACACTCTGGTCTTATTCTTTAAAACGTGAATGTCAAGAGCACAAGGCAGTGCCACACAGAGATGCTCCAACCTAGTGTGGCAGGCACTAGATTCTGGGGCTAGCCTGCCTGAGAATGCCTGAATATTTCTGCATGTCTCAAGACAACACAGTAGTTATTCCTGGGTCTCCTTCTGGCTGTGGCAGCTTCATTTCTGACTCAGTTGCTCTTTCGCCAATTAAATCACCCATTCACCAAGCAGTCAGTGTGGGTGTCCTGTACTGTACATTCTGCATGTGGCACAGTCATGCTGACTGTTGTCATTAAAACAGCCCTCTAGTTCCCTTCTCCTGATGGAGTTAATTGCTTCCAGAAGCCATTCACACAGGGGCAAACTATGGTACATCATGCTTCTTCTGCTCAAGAAAGCGAATGTGACAGAAGCCTTGATTGGTAAATAGCGTGGTGGTGGAAGGCCAGCACTCAAGCACTCTGCTCTGAGAAGCAGGAATGAGGCATTAGGAGAAGTTAAAGGAAGCATGTTACTTTTTTCCCTTGTCCCCTGGCCAGAGACTGGCCTGGTCTGGCCAGCCAGGAGAGCGCTTCACCTCCCCATGACAAGTTCTTAGTTCAGTCCTACTCAACCCATTCTGAATGGCTACATTCCCTGGCGTTCCTCAGCAGCTGGAAGAGCCTGCACTTAGATTCACATCTGAGAGCCTGCATTTATGGTTTACACAACTGAACTAGAGAAATGGGTGCCGTAGCATGAAGAAACAGCTGGTTTCAACATGCAGGGGGTAGGCTGGCCCTTCTCTAGGGATCACTGACTCTAGCATGCAAGAGACCATGGCTAACAGAGCAGTCCAAAGCCCTTAACGCAAGCAGGCAAAAGTTGGCATAAGCAAACAGGTTCGTCTCAGATGCAGATCAGCTATATCTAGTCATGATTTAGGGGAGAAGGGCTGTAGGCACTTGGGAGGTGGATTGCCTTTCTGGCAGCACCTCTCAGCCACCATGCGTCAAAGGTTTAAAAACAGAAAAAAAATCCACCCTTCACCCCCAGGCAGAGTGCAACACTGCATGAATCTCAGCAGCGACTCCTTGGACCCGATAGCTGGAAAGGAAGTGGGGGGAGGTGATGACAACACCACACATCTTCCTCTTTCCCACAGGGGAAAATACAAGCTACTGACGAAGCTGAGCACACGTGTCTAGAAACCACACAGTTAAAACTATAACCCCCTCAAAAAGGAAGGATCTAAAGCTCACTCAGGGCCCAGATAAATGCCACGTATCTGATCTGACAGGAACAACAGGTGCTGTGTTCAGCTGAAGAATTCACACCATGCAGGGGTCAGAGTGCTGCAGTTGTGTTAAGGGTGGGCCCTGGGTTACAAGTCCAAAGAATCCGGATTTAAGACCTATTTTTCCTAACTCTAAGGCTGTCTACTCTAATCAAGCAAGGTCACTGCTAGCCACGTCAGACTGGTGTTCTGACTAGGTGGATGTGCTGGAGTGCTCAGCATTTGCTTATTTTTAAAGCATTTGCCCCATGCTCCTCAGTAGAGGCTGGTTTTGGCAGACTGTGGATGCTTTGCCACATTAGCATTCTTAATAAGCAGTTTTCCTCAAGGTGAGAAATGCAGAAGAAACCAAGACAGCTATGCGAGCAGCCAGTTGTCAACATTTTTTGGACCATTTGACTTTTTTGGTCAGAACGCAGCTGGCAACAGCCTCAGGAACCTGAAACCAAAAGGAGCAACATGTCTGGCTTAAAATCGAGAGGCTGCATAATTCAAGGGATCCCTGGTTAAGGTTATTCCCTTCCCAAGGGACATCTGAGCTGGTGCTGGATTCCTACAAAGATGCTGGGATATCGGGGCTGGAGCCAGAAGAAAGTCTGTGTTTGAGGCTTGACTTGCCTGGCACTATTTAACAAGCATACTGCCCCCGCTCTGGCCAAAAAAGATTACTTTGCTGGTGCACTGGAGAGGAAGTGCTGGGCATTTTTTGCACTTTCCAGGACTATTAAAAGGAAGCAGAAAGCCATGTTTCCAGAAGGGAGGCAAGAGCCAAAAGCCCAGTGAGGTCAAGAGAAAGACTGCCACAAACTCCAGTAGCTTCGTATCAGACCTGGCATAGACTCTTTGCAAAGAATTTGACACCGGATAGAAACAGAACTAGGTGCTTAAGAGCACAGCCATGTTTTGAGAGCTGCACAAGACTGAGCTCAAACATGCCCCTGCAGTCACACAGGACACCGCCTATATTCAAGCACTAAGGGATTTACTATCTTCCTGTTCGTACCTGTGCTTGCTCTTAAAAAAAAAAAATCACCATTGTGATCAATTCAGGCTTTGGAGCCATTTTTAGTTCTCACATAAGAATAAACCTAACTGTACTCAAAGAATGATTTGAGAGACCTTTGGAGGGACAAAACTGGCCCCCCCCAAACATTAAAGCAGTTTGAGGCAGATGCTCAGCACGTAACTGCAACCAAATCAGCCCCTCAAGATGGCACAAGTTGGAATCCCTAAACTTTGTGCTGGAAGCTGCTGCTCATTTTCAAAAGGTTTGTGCCATGTACAGACTATTACTGGGTCTGTCTGTACTGAGTCCTTGTGCGCTGCAGTACTCAGGAAAACCAGAGCTTCAATCCATACAGAGCTTGGAGTGGGGGGCAGAAGGGAAGGGGGTTGTTTTGCAAGATTGCTCTTTTCCAAGTTATTTTTCATTTTCTACAGCACTTCCCATACTCCAGATTGGAGGGGCTCCTATATACATGTTGGAGAAGCCTCCCTGCACATAATTACAGCATGCTGGAGCAGACTTGATGAACTGAGTCTGCTGGAGCATGGTAATTACTGTGCTTCAGCAGACTCCAGCGTCATGTGTATCAGCATCCCTGTGCTGAAAAATGGTGGCGGAGCACTTTAAACTAAAACTTGTTCAACAAGCTTCAGTTCAAAGTACCCCGTTGCCATTTTTCAGTGCAGGGATGCCGATACACATGATGTTCCAGTCACTTTAATTAGTGCAGCTCCAAGAGCCGTGCTAATTAAAGTGCCCCCCCCCCCCCGAAACAGGTCTATAAATGCCATAAGGCTCTAAAGTTTAACAGCAGTAATGAAGCACTAGTGGTTATTAGTTGTCTGGTAAGCCAGCAACATCAAAAAAATTTACATTAGAAATAGCTTGTAAACTATCAAAACTGTGATCACTCAGGGTATGCAAGTGTATAGGCTGAACACTGAATCGAGGGATGGCTGGACACAGGGAGGTTAAACCCAGCATTCTAGCACTGTGTCCTATTTGCTTAGGCCACACCAAAGGCTTATGATGATAAAGATGATGAAGGAAGCTGGAAGCCAAAGACAAAGTCTGCTGGCCACAGTGAGCAGACCAGGCTGCCCAGTGCAGCATTCCAGGGTAATCAATAGTAAGAGATCATGTCACAAAATGGCAACTAAGAATTAAAAATAGCTGTGCATGTCTAAGTCCAGATTGAGCCAGCTATACCAAATCAGCTCCTGTAACTCAGGCTGCTGCTGCTTAAATCTAATTCTCTTAAAAAAAAAAACAAAAAAAAAAACAGACAACAAAAGTTAGACCTGGCTGGAGCAGGGCAAGCTGGGCAGGAAAAGGTGGCTTTGTTATAAGTAACTTTGTACTTTCACGAGGTATACGTGGACAAGTAGTGTGTGCCACTAACAACTAAACTCATCTGACACTGGGGACCCTCAGAGTACACCATGCTTTGTGGGACTGGTTACAAAACTCTGAGTTCTTACCATATGTGAACATGCGGGGAGAGGTGAGCTCAATGTTTGGCAGTGCTCCTAGGTGATTCAGGACTGCACACCGGTAGCCGTTTTTCTGGGCATAATCAACAAAGGTGCGGATGTACTGCTTCTCGCTGTGATTCGCTATTCCAGGGCAGATGACCATTGTGATATCCTCTGTACAGTTAGTGGAAGAGAAAAAAAAAAAAAAAAAA